CCACATGCGCTCTTTATATTGGGAAAATGCATCTGTCATTTACCTGCACTGATTGGCTCAACTGGGGATATTTTCTCTGCTGGACATCTGGAAATTGAAGTATTTAAGTGTAATCCTGGAACTTTTGAATACACTTAAATTAAATGTTTCTCACTTAGTGTAAAACAGACCATTTAATTCGGGTCTTTGCACTCGTCCCACAGTGGACCCTACACAAACACACTTTATTATTCCAGAGTGGGAGCTGCTGGCCCCACAGCAGAGCTTAGAACAGAAATTGCATGAGTAGAAGAATAATACAGACAACAGGAAATTTCAGACACTAATGCATAAATTAAATAAATGGATCAGTAAGAATTCCCGGCCATTGATTATGTCAGCAGCAAAGGAACGATGCTCAGGAACAGAAGGTGGGGGGTGGTGCTGGGGGGGTGCTGACACTGGGTTTCCAGCACCCGCGCCCTGAGGTGCCCTATTCAGCTGCAGGTGACACTGAGTGCCCCCCCCCCCCCCTTTGCCTGAAGCGAGCTGAAGAGCTTCCCTCCCCTCAGGGCTGCTGCGGTCTGTCGGGTCCCGGTCGTCACTGTCACTGCTGTACGCACCTGTCACCTCTACAAGCTGCCACTTTGCCAAAATCGTGCCGCTGCAACTAGCAAGCGATGGCGGCTTGCGCTTTATCCTCGTCTGAGTAGCAGTTGGGGAGAGTTTTAGTGGCTGTGTGTCTGGGTTTGGCTTTTGCTGTGATTCTGAAGTTGGCTTTTTCTTGGGAAAATTAATTTCATGCCAGATTCTTGTTTTTCGTTCCAATGCTTTGGTTGGTTCTGTTTCCAGGGCCAGCCGCTGAGGTGGTCTCCGTTAGCATGTCATTTTCTTTTCTGGACGTCTCTAGGTCTTCGGCGGACTTTACTGAGCTTCAGCATGGAGTTTGACTGAACTCTCTCCTTTAGCACCCGATATTCCGGGCTGGTTTCATACCTGGGGATCCCGGTTCTGGGTGAACCCTCCCCCTTACCGTCTCGGCAGAGTTGACTTCATCGTACCTGCTATAGATGGGGTACTGCGTAAAGCTGCCCGTATACTTCAAACAACGTCCAGACAAACCTAAACCGAACACTTTGGCAGGAACAGTCTGTCATGTAGTTAAAATGACAGTCACCTTGTTTGTTCTGTGTCACACCACAACCCTGGATGGAACAGAATATATTTGATGCAGCAGACCCAGATACAGAGCTGAAATAAACACATTATGGTGAGTGCATGAGTCATTTTAATAAAGGAAATGAGAGCTCTTTTAAAGTGGAAGCTGCTCTCTCTGCACCATTGGTCTGCTAGCAGGGAAGCTAACGGTTTACACGACGCTCACGGCTGCACGCTAATGGAACACACGCACTCCACAGCGAACATTACACGGTTACAAAATTTACTATTAACAGAAGTACACGTGTTGGTTTACGATATTTAAAGTGCAGTTCAGTGTAGAGCTTGCCGATTTCTGTATAATTAGTCCTGCTGACCAAGCTTGTAGTGTCACGTTTATGTCAGTCATTCATGGACAGTCGGTGGGATCAGAGCAAATGGAAACGTTTGCCTTGGGACCCCTCCTCAGGCAGTTCAGCGTCGTATTGCTACAATTCCGGCAATTTTATTTCACATATATGGGCACCTTAACTCTCTGCAGTGTTTCATTTTATCCCACGATTGCCTCAAAATTCTTAGTTTCCTTAAGTCTCCTCAACAGGAACTGGATGAACCTCAGAGACGCAGAGACGGGGAAGGTTCTTTGGCAGGGGACGGAGGACCTCTCTCTCCCGGGGGTGGAACACGAAGGTGATGGCACTCTCTGGTACCTCTGCTATAGAACACTTAAAAAAAATTAAAAATCCAAGCAATTTTTAAAAAATATTTTAAAGCGGGTGCAGGAGAGCGATTTCATTAAGGATTCTCCCACTGAGACTGGAGGGTTTTGAAGAGAGCCGAGCCACAAGACCCCCCCCCCATCTTCTCTGGCAGCGGAGATTGTTTCATGTCATTTAAATGATTTCCTGCTTTGGCACACTTTCAGTCATGAGGTACTTGCTGTCATCACTCTAAGCCTGAAAGTAAAATGGTGACACCAGCAGTCTCAGACAGAATATCTTAAAGGCCTTTGTGTCTGTGAATTGAAGATGATTTTGCTGCTGAATTATTACTGGTTACGATTATCATGGTGCGTCATATCTGCACAAGGGTCTTTGGTCTCTCGGCCTCATCTCCTGAAATGTTGGCCACTTTTTAGTTAGAAGAAGAGTACAATTTACCTTTTTATAAAGCTGTATGTGTTGGCGCAGTTCAGGATGAACTTTCTCAAAGGTGCTAGAGAAAGCCCTTAATCATATCGCCTACTATAAAGTCATGGATACATTAAGGTCCAACGTATAGGAATGCAATGTGTCAGTGTAATTCTGTAGCATTACTTTTGTGTGTCTCCTGTAAAGGCTGCTGATTTAAATGCTGTCTTTTCGCGTATTTTTGTGCTTTCAGCTCGTGTTCCCAAAAAGATTTTAAAGTGCAAAGCCGTTTCCCGAGAGCTGAATTTCTCTTCATCAGAAAAGCTGGAAAAATTCCGTCTGGAACAAAAGGTTTTATTTAAAGGCCAGTGTCTGGAAGGTAGGCTGTCCTCCTTTGATGCGGTTCAGTTCTGTGCTGTTTTGGCACGCAGTGTACCAGATTTGTCAAGGCGAGTACTGTTTGAACATTGGCAGGTGATTTTCGCCTGCAAAAGCGGGAAAGCATCTGAGATTATTGTGGGATGTCTGCAGACAAGGCTTCGCTTTTCTCCCTCCTTTCCTGCAGAATGGTTCTTTGAGTTTGGCTTTGTCATCCCCAACTCCACAAACACGTGGCAGTCCCTAATAGAAGCCGCCCCAGAGTCACAGATGATGCCTGCGAATGTTTTAACGTAAGTGTCCCGCCCCCCCTTTCTGCTGATCTCCTCTGACTGACGCTTACCCCAGTCGAAATGAGGTCAACTGCTAGCTCCAGATTTCCTGAAATTGCCTTTAACTTTATTTCCAATATCCTGAAACCAGTTGGAAGTTGAAAACTTAATTGCTTAGAGTATTAAGAGTGGAAGACTCGATATAATGGTGTGTTACAGTAATGTAGCAGGAATCAGACAGGCCACCAAAGCCTACGCACTGCTTGCTAAGAGGTTTATTTATTGTGTCCTCTTTTTCCCACTCCTCCTCAGTGGTAACGTTGTGATAGAAACAAAGTTCTACGACGACGAGCTCCTTGTAAGCACTTCCCGGGTACGACTTTTCTACGTCTAAAGCCAGACACCTTAAATTTTATTTATTTTTAATTTCCTTTTTTTGCGACGTGAAAAAGGAACAACAGTCTTAAAACTAAGACTTTCTAATGGTCAGAAAGGGCCACGACACACATCTGTCCAACGCTGTGATCCAGTCACCTCAATGGGAACATCGCAAGAATCCAAAATACAACCAAGTTAAGACCATTCCAGCTTTCTGCAGATTTTTGTATATATGAGCAATGATGCTCATTGTTATCAATCTTGTAAATTTTATTTGTACATTTCCCTCTTTTTGTTTCTAAATTCTATTTGCAATGTATACTGCTGCTTTGTATGCTTGTATTTTTTAAATCCTTTGCTTCCAGTTGTGGTTGTTGATGTTCTCAAGTTTTCCCAAGCTGCACTACCTGTAAAATAGTTTGTGTTATATACTAAATGTAATTATGAAATAAAAGATAAAACGCTACAGTGAATCTGTATCTTTCTGTAAGGGGAGTCTTGCACATACACGCATTGCGTCACTAACCACTTTTGTACATACAGTAACTGTCACTTGTATTTTTGTAGCATTCAGGTATTGAAATATCACAAAAGCAAGAGATTATTACAATACTAAATGCTTAACCTTTTGATCCCCGTGTCAGTCTGTTGGTCGACTCGCTCACACAGCGGCGGACAAAGCTTCTATCGATATTAAGCACCTTATGCCTTCCGATTCAGATTCTATCCTTGGAATGCTGCCATACAAACATAGAATGTAGTGAGATGTTGGACCATCCTTTGAGAAGATGCCTCCAGTTATTTTTGGAATGGAGGACGTAGGAATCTTTCACACCACCTTTGATAGTATGTAAGAGGGCATATTATCATATGAGAACATCCTGAGGAAATGGTGGCAGATCCATAGGCTGTGCACAGTTCACGGTGGCTGGTAGATGGCCTCGCCGAGCTGACGCTTAACCTAATGACTCCCTGCTTCTTCATATCAGCAGACATTGTTCACTGAAGCTGTCCTTTGTCCTCCTCCAAAGACAAGCCAGTCTGGTTTTACACAAATGAAATACGACTCATCAGACCGTATTGTTTTCCGCTGCCCAGCAGTCCGGGTCTTGTTCTCCTTGCACAAGGTTATACCTTTGCTCTGCAGTGGCCTTGAATACAAGCAGTCCCAGAATGACAGCCCTGCTGTAAATCCCAGCTTCGTGATGCTCGTAATATAGATTTTGAGTTAACAATGGGTCACAGAGATGATGATGCAGTTCTCTGCTATTGCGGGCACAATGTATAGTGTTTAGCAACAATTCAGTGTCCATCTATTGCTGTTAGTGTGATTTGCAATCATTGCTCCACTTTTCCAGTGCATTTTTCTCCCTTTGCATATTGAATAATGTTTCAGTTTTTGTGATGGGTGCACTGTAATTTGAGCACCAGCTCCTTGGCTTCTGTTAGTTGCTTCGTGTTTCTTCTGAAATGTCGCAAATCGCACAGTTTGTCCAGTACCTGTACATTGTTTGAACTGGTTGTAATCTTCTAGAAATTATGCCTATTAATGCTGCACGATAATAATGGGAAAAGACCAACGATTTTATCTGACAGGGCACTGGTATATATAACTGAACATGACATTCACAATTATCACCGAAAGTCAAAACGTTCTTTCATTTGATAAAGAGTATAATTGCCGTCCTTTTCGAACTACAAGTACCAGAAACCTCAGCTCGCAACACAGGAAGTCCCTTGCGCGCTGCACGGCGAATAGAGAGCCGAGTGTGAGTATCCGCCTTCCCCAGGAAAAGCGCATGGCAATTCGGACTTAGGGGATAAATGAACGTGAAACATTCTTTTATGTACGTGCATATTTGTATATGCACCTATCATGGAACATTTTTCATCTCGCTGTCACTGAATGATCACTTAATTGGCATTACAAAAGATAAGCTTGCTGCACACCTGACATTAGAGATATTATGCAACTTTTTCGTCTGGTTAGGTCGACACGTGTTTCTAGTATTTTAGAACAATCTGCATTTCGCTCTTTAGAGATTTTATCGATCTTTTTAATCTTGCTTGGTCCATATATCTTTGTAGTTATATTTTCTAAAGAGTGTATTTTATGTTGTGCATTTGAAGTTAGGACAAAGTACGGAGCCCATAAGGTGTCATGGCAGAAAAAAAAATTACTAATTCGTGCTCTCTGATTGGTGATTAATTTGAGCACACGAATTACTACGAGATAATATTTTTTGCATCATGACACCTAAGGAGTTCCATAAAAAAGCATTTTCTTCATTGCAATATTCTAGGACTACTATATTTATATTCCAATCCTTCATCAACGTGCAACATGCAATTTATTGTATTGTCTATTGGTCATTGTTTGTTATTTTTTCCTATAATATTTTTTACTAATACGATAATCTTGTATCCCTGATATATAGCTCACTGGATAATAATTGTCATGTAATGCATTTTGAGGAAGCTCGCTGATTCTGTTTGTCATTGAATTACTCCTACACAAGAAGGAACAGCTGCATGATTGTTCGTACTTGACTTTTCAGGTTCTTATTGGTTTCGAGAAGCTTTTGGCACTCAAAAGTGCAGCGGACGATTTGAATAATTATACTGCTGCAGCAGTGTCTGAAATAGTCACCAGTTAAGCTATTTATCACGGAATATGTTAAATAATAATAATAACCAACAGTTTGTACTATTTTAGCCTTGGGATGTTCCCACACAGGGGTGGAACTTAAGACGGTCTCTTCTGTTTTTTAGTCTATTACTCAGTGGGCAAGTCTTAATTTTTTTTTCTCCTAAGGCCAGTGGTCCAGCTTAATTTCCGACCCTGCTCCCCAGAAGTGTTGTCCTATGTAAACGGTTACTTTAAAACAAGGTTGAAGATTAATTATAATGGATGAAGACAATTCAAACACCATTGAAATTTTTTTTCACTGTCTGTTCTACGGCTCCTGCTGTTATGAGGCTAACTAAGCTGCATCAGGATTTTAAAATACTTTATAGACCTCTAAATAACTTGAAAAGAAAATCATTTTTCAGATTACTGGATATGCTAACGATAGAGATACTTTAACGAATAAAATGGCAAGCAGACGGACGCAGTGGTTTCAAGAATTATATTTTAGGTGTGTGTGTGTGTGTGTGTTCCTTTGTTTTGAGAGTTAATTTGGATGCAATGAATATATAAATAATTCCAGTGGGGTTGTATTATTTTACTTAAAAATATTTTTTCAGTACGTTATTCAAGGTAAATTTACAGGAAATACAAATTAGCCCAAGCCTTTATTGCACATGGTAATCCTCCAGTGTAAGTTATTTAATTTCCGTTTTGTTCGGGTTGTTACTCTGAAGAGTCTCTCCAGCAGAAGGCCTGCCACAGAAGGCCTTGCTTTTTTTAAAAAGATAGGAGGTAATAGTTACAAACTGCTTTATCCTGGATAGCACTTTGTTTTGCCAAATTGCTCCTAATAAAATGTGCCTCTATAGGACTGGGGTAATAAAGGGTCAGAGAGGGTTACATCAGGGGGTAATAAGGGTAATAAGGGGTCAGAGAGGGTTACATCAGGGGGTAATAAGGGTCCATCAGATTGATTTTTGTTTAAGAGCTATTGAATAATTTCGTCATAGCTGGTAGCATATTTGGCAATATTTTTGTTAAATAGCAGCTTTGATTTTTTTTAAGTTATGTACTAAGGCTGTCTGACAGATCTGTTGTCCTTTTGCCAGAAAATTATATGCTTGTCTCATAAATTTGGTGAAATAGCCTCATTTTACTGTCCCTCGTCTGTTGGCCGTTCATCTTCAGGACCACTTGCCCAATCAGCGTGACTTTTCAGTTTAGGTCATTATTGGCGAATGTAACCCTATATAGAAAGTAACTTTGCCTCCATCAGCCACCCTGGTTTCAGCACTCATTAGACTGGTCATATTGAAACTTAGCAAGAATTTTAACCAGTCATCAAACTGGAATTCAGAATCATACAACAGGTCACTGTATTCAGTCTTTCTTAATTATTTGCATGCCATAAAAAAAAACACCTTAAAAGGCAATTTGCTGTGATATTAGTTTTCTGTATAAAAGTATAGATGCCTTCAGCTTGAGTTAAAGCAACCATGGAGAGTTCATCATGTTTGGGGCCCTTGCTTGCGTGTCAATGTTAAATTGGCCTAAAATGTGCACAGCTGCAGATCCCATCCCATCACGCTGAACTTTGGCCCTCAGCTTCAGAAAGGGCTCCACCCGGCTGCAGATCCCATCCCATCACGCTGAACTTGCGCGCCGCGATGTGGGTGTCAGAGCCCACGCCCCGGTGTGGGTGTCAGAGCACACACCCTGATCCTTCCTAAGTCCTTCCTAAATCCTGACGCCCATTTTCCTTTTGAATATGTTACTATTATTTCTCTTGTAATGAAGCAGAAGTGATGTCTTGGTTTCGTCATTCCTGCTCACTATTTTGTTAAACCTGCATCCTTTACAATGTATCTTAAAGTCCTTAATCCGTCTTCCTGTCCCTGTGCTGGGGATCCCTTCCTCTGCTCACCTTAATATTGGTTTATATGAATATGGCTTTTCCTTGGTTCACTGGGCCCTGTTTTGGTCAGGCGACCTTAGGCGTCTTTGCTGAGTCAGCGGGAGCTGTTCCTGAGAGCTGAGGACCTCCTCATCATTCTCGACGACGTCGCCACCACCGACCTGAGCTTCGACCCGGAGTACACATCTACTGTGGAAGCCTAGCAAGTCGGTGGGTCCCTGTCCCCCTGAGCCAACACTCATATGGGCTTCCAGGAAAAACTTGCTGTTTCCAACTGCATCCCCGGTACGGGAGGGCCTCACTGTTACTCTTGGCCTTTCTGTGCCTTTGATGGGCCTTTTAGTCATGTTTTTTTCCAGAAGTCTCTCTGCGGTGTTTTTTCCGCTGGTGCTCCCGTGTCTGCGTGGGTGGCGTTTGCGGCGCGTAAAGTGATCTCGCCGGGTTTCACAGCTCAGCAGGGGGCACAGCGCGCGCAGTTCCATGCGGAGAGGGTCAAACAGGAGCAGAAACAGAAGATCATTCAGGCCAGGCGTAAGCACAGCTCGCCAAAATGCTAAAGGCACTCCCAGCACAGAGATCCGGGAAGGAGCACACAGTCATCGCAGCTTGGCATAAACCAAGACTTTGACAGTCCGGTGTTATTTTAGGGAATGTTACTTCAGAATGAGAAATTCCATAATCGGGGTCCAAACTTAAAATGTTCTCCTTAGATGTACTGGAAGGGACTAGGGCAGCCTTTACATCTTCAGTCCAAAGTAACTGCGAATCAGAGCTGCTCCAAGCACATGTGGCCCCAGCAAACTACACCAGCTAATTTTACTGTGTCTCGGGGTGGATGCGAGTTTATTGGCGTCAGTGGTCAGATTTCCTAAGATGACACTCATGTCACCTAATGGGTTGACTGGAAGTTTCGTCAGTTTTTGATCAAAAGAAAAAAAGTCTTGTTGCAATTTTAGCATGGATACATTGTATACAAATTAGCTGACAGACGTTCTTTGGTTGGTGCTGTGTGACAGTAAAAATACTTTTTCTTTGTAGGCTGGGAGAGGCGGTGACGAGGAATCCAGGGTACGTGAGACTAAGACGCATGAGAGCAGCCCAGAACATAGCAAAGACGGGACGCTTAGCATGTGTGGATCGGGACCGTTCACGTGGTCGTGTTACATTAGGGGACAATCCTGGACGAAGATGGCAGGTGTAATGTTTGGGAAAATATTAATAGATCGGGATAGTTTCAGTCTCCACAAGACATCATGTAGATAGTATTTTAATATTTTTTTCCTAAACATTTAAAAAGCTACTCATTTTGTTATGAATTTCAAATTTGTTTGATGGAACTTTAAACACGATTCACTGATGATGCTTACGAATGTCTTACTTGTAAGAACTCTGAGCCCTATGTTGGATCTGTGTAAAGTACCGTGTCCATTGGACATACTGTAATGTCTCCAGCTCGTCGTTTTCAGGGACTGTGTAGATTAATATTTGATTGAACTGACGCTGGTTGATTGCTCTGGCCTCCATCTGCCACCCTGCCACACGCTCTGAATGCCATCAGTCATGCCTGGTGTCCTTTTTCTGAAACACACAGATCCTGAGAGATAAACAGCTCCACCATCCAGCTTGCACAGATTTGTTGGAGTAGTTATTTTGTACCTTCTTTGATCTTCTGAATGGCACCAGCTCTGTGTTCATGCTGATTTATTAGTTTTGAAGTGATCTAGTAGTGTTATATATCAGTGTAGAGCTCTGACTAAAGGCTGTGACACACTCAGAAAAGACAGGATAGAAATGCTTATCAGACTAGCCTTGCAACTTCCTGTTCCCATACAGTCACTGTCCCCTGTCACTCCCATCTTGAGAGTGCAGTCTTCACATGAACAAGATGTGTTTCATCCATAGTGAAACAAACAGTAGCAAAGCCCTGCTTGGTGTTCCTGTGCTTCTGTAGCACGTTCCCTCACATGATACAGTGAGCTTCTGCTTTGCAGGTGGCTGCATCCCAGGACAAGGAGAACCTGAACGCCGGAGCTTGTGGCTGAACCTCCAAGATGACACTTCCGACAAGTAGGTCCTGCTTGTGTCCCTTTTTTTTAGCCTCACCACTTTCACATGCACTGCAATCTGCAGACGACAGTGTAAGCAGCTGTCGATTGAATGTCTTAATTGGACAATTGGGATCTTCTTGACAGCAGTCAAAAAAGTGGGCGTGAGTAATTTGGCACAAAAAGACCTACAAAAATACTGAGATATATCAAAGCATGCAGCAGATCCTCTGTACCTTTCGGCCGTACATCACAACCAAGGTGAAATGACACATACATCCTACCTCTCCTTGTAGAATTAATTGAATTAATTCCCCTTTGACTACGCAAATGACTATCAGTGCACTCCCCTCTTTTTTGATGAAAAAAGGCAAGAGAAGAATTTTTTCACTAGATAGATCAGAGAGACCTACAGTAGTTGAAATAAAAATCCAAACCTCCACGATCTGATAGTCACTCTATCTGATTACATTTGAAAAACCGGTCTAAGCTGCAAATCTCACTTGAGGTTGGCCTGTTCAGCCACAGTATGTGGAAATCCCACGTATCTGGGTGACTTTGGGATTATACCGTTCCATATGGCAGGCATGGTGTGGCCCCAGAATGACTGGGAGGTACCTGACCAGTCTGCCAGCCCCCATTGCCAATAATCCCATTATGGTGTGGATTTACAGCATTGGTAAAGCGCAGTTCCTTGTGGCCTTTCCAAAGTTCTGGCCCAGCTTGGCATTTCCAAGAGGGCGGATCTAGGACATGATCAGAGGCCAGTAAATCAGCACGGCCCCTAAATCCAGGCGTCCTCTGAATGGTGACATTGACAGTATCTTACCACGGTCTTATTAATCTGCTGTCTTGTAGGTATTTAATTACCTACACGTTGTTCACTTACATTTTGTGATTAATTTACGGTTTTGCTAACTGACTGGACAAACAAATCCAGTAATTCAGTGACAATACGGCGCTTGGCGGACAGAGCAGACTGAGAACCTGCATTTGAACATGCTGGTAGTTTCACTTCTTTGCCACTTGGTGTCGCCAGCTGACAGGTTCAGTATTCGTTTTTTTTTTCCCCATTTCCAGTTCATCACTGGGGGCAGTAAGCGGTAAAGAGAGCACATTCCAGGCATGGGAGGTGAACCGCTGCATTTACCTTCTGTCACGATGCCAAGTCCTGGTTTGGGAGCCGAGCTGAATCACAAACTCAGTAAAGTACCAGATGACTTTGCAGGAATGTGGTTTTCTGAGCATTTTTTCCCTGGAAAACTAGTCAAGACCATATTTTAATCTGTGATCACTGGCGTATAATTATAGATTTACCAGACGTAAGTTCTAGCAACCCTGTGTTTATTTACACTTTGGTTCAGGTCTGGACGTTGAAGGCTCATTGGTCTTGCTCTGTATGCAACTTTCAGATCTGTTTAAATCTAGGTTTTGTGGTTTTATCTCTTCTTATTTATTCTGACACACATTTGAGGAGCTGGAATTTAACCTTTGGTTAAGTTGCAAACATTTGAGTCCTATGCTGGGGGGTACGACGTGCTTTTACTTGCTGTGAAGTCAAAAAATGAAGTATTTACTGTACAGTAACAGGCCATGATTAAACTGAAATGCCTTTAACCCTTGTGCATGGATAAGAGTCTAAACCCAAAAGTGTGTATAGTGCAAAGTGTGTTTATTAATAATAATAATAATAATAAAAATAATAGATACATTATTTTATTGACGTTGGTGAACAGAAAGACCATGAGATGTTCATACTTTTTGGAGTGCAGGTAACCCTTCTCCAAGTATGAACGATTCCAGAGTTTCAAGTGCAGCACATGATGTTTCCAATACAAACATATTATGTAAACAACGCTGGGGGAACATGGTCCTCCGTATGATTTTTTTTGTAACGGTTGGGAACCGCAATGGGACAGCAAGGCTTGTGTGCTTCGCTAATTCCTAATGTTTCTGAAGAAGGTTGGACAGCTAAGAGATGACAGACTTACTCTGGAGCAGGAATCAGATGAAAGAATCTTGGGCCCTTTGCTTGTTGGGAGACCCCTACTTGTCTGTCCCAGTGCTATGCAGTGTCCCCTGCTTGTATGTCCCAGTGCTATGCAGTGTCCCCTACTTGTCTGTCCCACTGCTATGCAGTGTCCCCTGCTTGTCTGTCCCAGTGCTATGCAGTGTCCCCTACTTGTCTGTCCCAGTGCTATGCAGTGTCCCCTGCTTGTATGTCCCACTGCTATGCAGTGTCCCCTGCTTGTATGTCCCAGTGCTATGCAGTGTCCCTGCTTGTATGTCCCACTGCTATGCAGTGTCCCCTGCTTGTATGTCCCACTGCTATGCATTGTCCCCTGCTTGTCTGTCCCAGTGCTATGCAGTGTCCCCTGCTTGTCTGTCCCACTACTATGCAGTGTCCCCTGCTTGTATGTCCCACTGCTATGCAGTGTCCCCTGCTTGTATGTCCCACTGCTATGCAGTGTCCCCTGCTTGTATGTCCCAGTGCTATGCAGTGTCCTCTCCCATCAGTCTCTCCCACAGTTCAGTGTGCAGAGTCTCCTCATCTGTTATTGTTCCTGGATTATTCCTCATAGCAAGGTCCCATCATGCCGTCCCTCTCGCAAAGGCATTCATTTCTTTCTAGAGTTATTGAGTGTAGATTTTCAGTGTTACTGGCAGTTGCTGTTTACTGTTCACGACAATAACTCAGTTATTAACTAGTATCGTATAGTCAAGTACAGTCTGTCAGGTTTAATCTGCACTGTCCATATTATGGTCTGCTTCTTCTCAGTCAAGCCTTAATATTATTTATTGCCTTACCTCAGTACCTACCCACCATGTTTACGTCATAGCTTATTTATCTGCTGATATTCTGACAAATTTAAGGGCGACACTATCTTTGAATATATTGCATTATGAATTCTTCGAGTCCTGCCAAGGTTACACAGGTGTTACCGTAAGGTACTAGGACTAAATAATTAAGGCTCTATTATTAATTGCTGTCTCTAACTGGGGTGGTGGGTAGCACAGCAGGTTGTGGATTTCTGCTCTTGTCCAGAAGGTGTACATTTTGAATTTGGCTGGCAGTGTAATGCTATCATCATTCGGACCTTGAGCAAGACCCTTAATTCTAACATGGGTGCTGGATGCAGACTGACCCTGCAGACTGACTAAAAAATTGCTTGCACCTGTACGTTCATCTACCTACATGCCTTCGGCTATTCTTTAGTTAAATAATCAGCATGGGACAGCATCCCTTACTGAATGAAACGTTTTACAGTGAAATTTATGTACTATGTTCTGTTCTGTCCAGATAGGTGCTTTAGCGTAAGTAGTATATTAGTCAGACTGTCCACGCATGAATGACCATGCATGTGAAAGGCATGAGGGAGCATACCCCCCCCCCCGCACACACACACACAGACACACATCAGGGCAGCTGGCTGGAACACACTGCTGCATGTCTGCCACCAACAGATGCCAATGTGTACCTGTTTAATGAAATTCCCCAAGCACATTAAGATGTTAATGTATGTAGGCTGCACTCAATGAGATTCTGGATTTAGGTGAGAGCGCATATGATTTGGGGGTAGCTGAAGAAATACACATACATAAAAGGATATTTTGGTTATCAAAACAAAGGACCAAGATAAATGGATTATGGAAAGCAAAAATGTGTCGTCACAAACATTTGTAAATTATGGACCTCATAAAGGGACAGGGTTGGATTTTTTTAAAAGGTTCCTTGCAATGGTGACCTATGCACTCACTCGCTGCTCTGTGACACATTCCGACAGATACAAAGGTAATGCATGACCATATCGATTTTTAATTAGAGCTTGGTCTACAATACACATAATGCTTAATTATCCAGGTTTTGCGAGGAAACGCAAAAGTTCTTCTGTTTTCCGACCCTGTCTCCTTAGGGGCGCCGTAGTAACTCATCTGGGGCTAAAAGAAGTTTTTAAAATAAACCGTTTGAAATACAAGTGCTCAAGGACCAAAATGCAGGCAAGTGCACTTTTTGCTGTTCTTACCGTGACAAAAACCCATTATGATGAATGCCTTATCTTTAATATAGTTATGATAAACGTCACAAGATTCTTGAAGTATAAAAACATTGTTCTACATATTTACCATATTTTTCTATTTAATAGCCATTGCCACACCAAAACAAACATTTACAGGTGGTGCAGATCTTACTGAAAGCAGCAGATAATAGTTACATATCTTTGTCATGTTAATAGTTAACTTATGTTGCCTCAGTCATTCGAGTAAGGAACCGCACTTCATAGTTCATTCATTAATACGGCCTTAGTGAACTTCAAAGCACTCGACCAAAAATGTTACCCTGAAATCTTCCTTTTGTGTCTCCGCCGTTTCCCTCTTGTCAAAGTCCTTTTCCAGTGTGATTTGATTCCGGAAGCATCCTGGTTCTTGCTTCTAAATCACAGGTGTCACATGTCAGCTATTCATTAACTTAATGGGCAGGTTGCAGGTAGTACGGTGTGACCAGAAGTTCCATGCAAGACTAACCTGCTAACCTGTTACAGTTAGTTAACCTGTCTTGACTGAGTACAATGGCCTCCTGTATAAGAACATAATACATTTCACAATTTCATTTTACAAAGGAGTCTTAAAGGAAGCTTTATAATAAGCCACGTTTTTTTAGCTCCTTGGAATGAACTGTCTGATGAGGCCGGTCAGTTGGCCACCAAAACGAACGAGAGGTACGATTCTTATGGTGCCCTAATGATTAACAATATGGATTGAAATGAGGGGGGGTGACAAGGAACCGTGCATGTTTATAAAAAGTGTAGTTTTAAAAAATAATTAACCTGAACTTTAACCTAAACTTGCGCATGTAGTAAAATACCCTATAGTTTGTCTTTGTTGTAAATTTAATTTCATGTTTTGTAATATCTAACTCTTTAGGTGTTGAGATATTCATAATATAAACAAAAATGTTAAAGTATTTAGATTTTACATTTTTGCTGTTTATTCTTTTATATAAATGGTGGAAAATGCAAAGATAGTAAGAGTTAGGATTAATGTATTTCTTTACAAGGCCGGGTTTGAATGTTATGCATTCTCACATTGTCAACACTAGATGGAGCCAAAGGCCAAGCTATTAATTGCACATTTACACTCAACATTTCTGTGTTGGAAAATCTCAGCCCAGTGTCACAAAGCTGGGTGCTGACAAGGTCTTTGTCGTTGAGTGATTGTTTTTTAAACGCAGGCTTTCAGGGAGCACAGCAGATCACAGACTCTGCCTTCAAAGCCACACAGAGGGCTGGCTGAAGGCTTCATGAATATTCATTAAGCGCGGGAGCAGGCCTGCTATCTATGCACACTTTGGGTAAATAGACGCTCACAATGCCTACTTACCCCCTGCCCTGAATGCCAACTTGCGGCTGAATAGGGCACGTTCTGGCCTTTCTCTAACAGACTTTAAATGGCAGTGGTCATACGTTTTCTCCCGGAGTCAGGGTCAGATCTCTGAGGCAGAGTGCACTTTATTGTGTCTGAACTGACTTCTGCATATTTCGAAGACAAAATTCCTGGAACAGTTTTACATACGATCAGTGTAAAGAAATGAAGCTTTAAAAATGAAACATGCTGAACGTGTCATTTAGAGGATCCTGTCTCCGGTTAGGGAGGGAGTGTCTGTGCCTGTACCGAAAATAAAACTATTTAAAAAAAGATGACACAAACTAACTGAATTATTCATGTTTTTCACACTCTGCTTTCATTCTTGCAGTGCACTGGCAGCAGCCCAGCAGATTAGTATGCTTTGAATGTGAGCTTAGTTTAAGGACAAACCCTGGGCACTGCACTGTGTTTCTAAATATGTAGTCCTGGGACATTTGTTTCCCTTTCCTTTTATACACGCATGCAAAACAAGTGTAGCTTATTGCTCAGCTGGGCTGTCTCCATAGAAACACTGACCTCATGCTGTGACTGGCAACCTGAGCCAGTTGCCATAGTGATCAGCTGTGACATCAGTCCTGAGCTCCAGTTGCCATGGCACCACACCCACTGGCTCAGCAGCTATTTTTGTGCAATGCTGTGAGCCCAGCAGAGAGGAGAAGCGGTCACATACGTTTCTTTCTTACCAGGACATTCTGTGTTCCTGTGCTGCTGTACTTCTTTCACTCCCCGACTTCATTTACACTCTTCCCATGTCCAAATCCCTTAAGCTTATCTTATCTCATGTCAGACTCTTTTTGCTGCCCCTGTTACAGACGCAGTGAAAAATAGTGATTTTCACACATCAGCCATATGGTGAGGTCATAAGGTTGTATCTGCTAATTATTAGGATAAAG